GTCATCGGTGAGAAATCCATCCTCACATCCCGACTGGATGCACCTTACTGGACAAGACTTCTCACCAGAACTACAATGAACTCCGTCCAATACCAAGTCTCTAACTGATATCAGTCCGTGGTCAAACTCAAAAAAATGAATCAAATCCTTACCAATCAACTCTTGAAAATATATAGATAAAACAATAAGAAGACGTAATTTGTCTGGATCGCGTATTGCATGTATCTGCGCAACACATTTCGAACAATCTGATCACACACGGACTTGTCATAGGAATATTTATATGAGAATAATAACAAGTTTGGAGGTGAGAAAATAAACAAGTTAGGTCAAGTTGTAAGGACATATTCAAGGTCAAAATAACAATGATGATCACTAAACTGAATAAGAGAGGTAATAGTAGTAATCTGTTATGGCATAAAAACAAAGTTTACCACGGAAGATTTAGTGTGATGACGAATTGTTGCTTTGAACGCATAAAGGTGGTTTAAACTTCTTAATTGATACGGCTTCCACAAACACGTTTTATAGATAAGTGTTTAAACGATGTTTAGACATCAATTTTATGTCCTGTCCCATCTACACCATGTTTCACAATAGAGTAACTAGGTCTCTTGATCTCACCATTATTAGGTTCTAGGGGCTTTATTTACTTTTGATGCCGTTTAAGGAATATGCTGTGAATCCAGACTTTACTTGCAGAGATCTATGAGTCAGCTAGAGAACCATTGAAAACCACGGAGTACTAAACATCTGTTTCATCCCACTGGTATGATAATCATCGGCAGTATACACCCACCACAGGGGGTTCGAACCCAGGACCTTCTGGTTACAAGGCAAGCTGGTTTGTATACCATTCAGCCACTGGGACGCGATTCAGTGGCCAGCGCATGAATTCTAACTTCTCTCAATTCATGATTTAGCGCGACCACCAACCAATGTCATCGGTGGGAAATCCATATATATATATATACGACATCTCTTGTCTTTAAAAACTTTGTCCAATTATTATTTGATTGAATTTTAGATTTTCCCGTCGATTGATTGGACCGACGTGTTCGGTCTCAGGATGACATTGTCGGCATCCTGTGCAGATGCTTCGACGATGTCTAGGCATTTAATTAGAGGTTAATGTGGTGGATGTTGGCTAGTTGTTGAATCCAGATGACGAATCCCAAATAGGACGAAATGCGCATCCCGGATTCCACTGCTAGCCATCATCCACCAAATTAACCTCTTGTTCAATCCTGTTTGAGTCATGAACAGACATCAAAATATAATAAACTAAATGGCATGAGTTGTGATCAAAATTTGACCACAGTGCGTCGGTGGCACAGTGGTTAGGACTCTCGCCGACCATGCACATGGTCCGGGGTTCGAGCCCTCGCCGACGCACACTTGATATCTATAGTCGGCCTGCAAAATTTGGGCTACCGATATCCATGCTGAAAATTCCATACTTGTACCCAAAATACGGTGTGGAATCAAGCTGTAATCAAAAATAAAAAAATAAAAAAATAAATAAAAAAAAATATTAGTCTACGTTTTACTAAACATTGCAAACAGATTTGTAGTCATTATATTCGACTAAAGTTCATGGTCATAGATAACTAAATATGAAAAAATATGTATTTATGTGTACATGCGGTACACAATGGTGTGTTTTGTGTGTGTGTGTGTGTGAGCATGTCTGTATCCGGCAACAATTGTAAATCATTTGTTAGCCTTTACCTAAGTAGTTGTAGACAATCTGAAATTTACATGAACTATGATGCATATCGAATATTATTTATCAATCAGTGTTTGTCATGCATCAGCTAACTTCACACCTCCATGTGCATTCAAGCTATTGGAATTCATCCATATATGCAGTGCTTCTACAGTCAGTCTTTTTTTATACGGATCGAAGTTTTTCTATTGGACGATGGTCTTATCATCAAAGTCGATCTTGTGTCTCGTTTCTATCGAGTGTAGCGTATTCACTGATCTGTTTTCTGGCTTTTTCAAATCTGCAAAGGTCTTTGAGACCATCTTTACACACTGTTTATGCTTCTTCACTCTTATATCTATCTGTCTGGAAGCTCCTCACAATCCCACAGCTGATTTAGAACACACAATTTTGTTGGTTGTCCTCTTCTATTTTATCCTTAACCTTCACCAATGTTGAGCGTGATGTGTCCGTAGCACGAAAATACACCCAAATATCATAACTGTTAAGAATTCGCTTTATTTCATCCGATGTCTTTTTGACATAAGGAATCACTGCTGTTTTAACCTAAGTCTTATCAACAAGTTTGGAGTCATCCATATTTTCCCATTTTTAACAAGGCTGTAGAATAACTGTTTGATTGAAGAGTAGACTGAACCAATTTTAATTCCCTGATGATCTCTTCCTCATAGGCAACTAGATATTTGGCTTTGTTAATCAGATTCTTGGACGCAGTAACTTTGGTGATAAAGAAATGTGCTGAGTTGTAGTCTAGGTATCTGTCCGAATTTGTCAGCTTTCTGAAAATGTTTGTTTTAAGTTTACCGTCTGGTTTTCTTTTTATCAAACATTCTAGGTCCAAGTGGTCTAGTGGATTACACTTTGGCGTTTAAAACTATGAGAACTGGGTTCGAGCCTCGGTGGAAACATCATCACTCACTGGAAAATTCAGGTACATCCAGCCGGCGGACGAGTCCCAAATAGGACGAAATGCGCATCCTGGATTCCACTGCTAGTCACCATCCACCAATGAACCTCTACCCTCATGCCCAGATATCATCGAAGCATCTGAACAAGAAGCCGACATGTCAACCTGAGACCAAGCAGTTCGATCCAATCTATCGACGGGAAAATTCAGTTGAATTCTAGGAAATTCAAGTCATTTGCTTTGGATTCAGCCTCTTTTGGAAAATAAATAGTTTTTGACATATTGATTATCAAAATGTAAAAGTTCATTCAACCCCAATCGTGTAAGCCTGTCTTAAACGCTTATGGCGAAGTTAAAGTATCATAGTCAAAGCCAAGATCTTTCGAAAGTTGACCTTTTTTAGAACCAATCAGATATAGGGAATGCTGTGAAAAGTCATGCCGAATCAAATCATGCCTGCTGTTTGGGACTTAAAGAAGATAGATAAAGTACTCTACTTATTCACTAGGTACTTTTTCTGTAAATCTATACTGTCAGGTAGGGTGATGACTTTTAAGATTAAGTTTAAGGGTTTAAGGTTAGGTTTGGGGTTAAAGTTAGGGTTAGGATTTTTGACTACGGTTACAGTAAGAATAGTTTGAAGAATAGTATCAGAAATATCAATGGACCTCGCAGAGCCATGACCTACAGTCACCCGGATGAATGGAAAATTATCGTGTATGGCACGATTTCCCTATAGACCACATAAGCTACAACCCTACAGTGTAAACCCAAGTTTACAATGTTTTTTTTAGTGCATTTCTCACCGATTGGGCTACTTTTCTGCACCTGAATTCTGACTGGCTGTTCAAGATTACTGTGGTTTTGGATATGATAAATTAATTTTCAAGTATTGGTTTTGTATGGATTTTGTCTGATTGGTTTCAGGATTTCATCATGAACTGATATCAGTTAGAGAACCGTTAGAAAACCACCATTAATGACCACTGAACAGCTGTTTCGTACCATCTAGTTTGGGACTCTTCAGCAATACGCACACACACCACGGTTCGAACCCAGGGCCTTCTGGTTATAAGTCTAGCGAGCTCGCAGACCATTCAACCACTGGGACCTAATCCAATAGCCAGCTCATGAATTCCGACTTCTGCCAATTCATGACGTAGCATGACTACTACTTCACAATGTCTTCTTCGACGAGTTACTGCCTCACCTTCAACCAACTGTACCCTACTGGTAACGTCTTCCCACTACAACCACAGGTTAACTGATTGAATAGGGCCAGTCGCTAGTAAGCATCAGACCGATTTTCAAGTATTGGTTTTTGTGAGGATTTTGTTTGATTGGTTGAAGGGTCTCAAACTATGGCGAAACTGCTGTCCAGTATGATAGATAGATTAACTTTCCTGGGTTATTTTAACGTTACACGAAATTAAACGTAAGTAGAATTTTGAAATGAAAAATCGTAACTAAAATTAAGAAAATCAGTTAAAAACGATAAGTATTTAATTGGTGGATGGTGACTAGAAGTGGAATCCAGAACAACGCGCATTTCGTCCCATTTGGGACTCATCATTTGTATGTGCCTGCATTCTGCAGTGAATGATGATTTTCCCACAGAGACTAGTCACAATCCACCAATTTAATTTCGATTACATGCCCAGATATCATCGAAGCATCCGCACAAGAAGCTGACATGTCAACCTGAGATTGAGGAGCACTTCGGTTTAATCAATCGACGGGAAAATCTAAAATTCATTGGAAGTACGACAAGTGTTCATTAAAAATGTAAGAACAGTGAAGGCAGATTAATGATGAATTAATATAGATCGAACATTGTCCCATTGTGATTTTTAACTGATTTCACTTGACTTCACCAACAAGGAGTGACATCAATTCTAGCCAGCATCAAACATTACAAACCAATGTAGTACCCATATAGTTAGGGTTACTACATCCAATATCTTTCAGAAATTGATTCATTCTGCTGTATAGTATTTGTGTCTGCAATACTCTATATCTTGAACTAAGATTTACATTAATTTAAAATATCCTAATTTGTATAAATGTCCAATAAATGCATTGATCTTGTTGAAAGATACACTGCAAACATCGTTTAAATAAATCAGTTCAATGAACACACGATACCTTCATTTAACCAATAATAAATCGTATTGAATTCTTATTCTATGATTTGTCAATTCAATACAAAATCCACCTACGCATTCAAGCCACACTGACCAATCAAATACCAGCTTACATGTGACCTTCGTTTATATGTATAAAATTCAGTGGTATAAACAGTAACTTTGTATTTATATACTATACGTACTAAATATTAGATTTTAATCCACAGAATAAACAAAGATGAATCCAAATTTTGGTGATTTGTCAGCATGGAATTTGAGTGATAACAGCAATCCTGTGTCAAACACTAACTCATATTATCCAGGAGGGTCAGGTTTCCCAGGTGGTGGACCAGGATATCCAGGAGGCGGACCAGGATATCCAGGAGGTGGACCAGGATATCCAGGAGGAGGACCATGCTATCCTGGAGGTGGGCCAGGGTTTCCAGGAGGAGGAGGAGGATTTCCACCAGCATCATGCCAAGGACCACCACAAGGTTATCCCGGTCCAGACCCTGCAGGCTTCCCTCCTTCTGGTCCTATGGGATTTGGTAATGGACCGCAATATGGATATGGTCAAAGTGGTGCAGGCTATCCAGCTCAAGGATATCCGCAAGCGGACTCAAACTATGGAGGCGGCGCACGCCAGTATATTCCAGGTGCACCTAATTGCCCATCACAACCATCCTGCGGAACAATGGACTCATTCAGTTATAATGATTGCGACTATGGAAGAAATACAGACATAAATCCATACTCCGAGCCAAATAACTCTTGTCAGTCCAATTCGTATAAAGACATAGTGAGTTCCCTTATACATACAAATTTTAATTTGCCCAATTTATGTGTTTATATTGTTCCATTTGTAGAATCAGATCATTAATGATCACTGGTTTATCCTATTAACACAATGTCCTATTCTATTGTGTTGTGTTGAAATGTTTTTCTCACTGAAACCATCCATGCATACAAGTTAGATAAATATGGCCTATCTTTATCTATCTATCAGTCCCTTATACACGGAAAATCAATAACCTGATATATTATTTTTTCATTTTTCTCTAAGATTCTGAGTGATAAACAGGGCTCCAGAAGCATACGGGGTTTTCACTTTGTCCTGTGAAGTTTCTTCTATCAGGCTGCACGACTGACTATACGCCTTCGTTTACTCTTTAGACGATCTCCTCGATATCCTCCTTGGGTCGACGCCCATTGCTTCTCTTTCTCGACAGCGTAACATTTAATCTCACTCAGCAGTTTTCTCTGACCTCGCTAAGCCAGAAATAATGCTGGTTAAGAGGAAAGGTTTGGCATGAGGCTAGCAACCTCATCTTGTAAAATAAACATCGCTACAGAAACTTCAAGCCACTAGCTTGAATCCCTACGTTCCACTGGGGAACATGAAGGAAAAAAACAGTGTCCCTCAGTGAATATCCACCAGTCCGTCTCTATTTCCTTCGACATATTTGTTGCACCACTGGTTCTTGGATGATTTCTTCCTTGTCAGAATTCCTCATTGCTTATCCTTCCTGTCAGGCTACCTGATCTTCAGTGTGGAATGAAGGCAGCTGTAAATGAACGTCTCGAGTAGCCTGTTGAGAAGGTTTTAAGTGAAGCATTGACTGACATCAGTGTTGGGAAGATCTGAATCTTTCCCCTCATGATGACTACAGTAGACTTCACAGTAATCAATGGCTGCCTTGCTTAGTTTCGTAATCTGAAGGCCATGAGTTCGATCTCTGGTATCTTTATGAGTGTACACCGATGAAGAGCTCCAGATTGGAGTGAAACAGCTGCCAATTGCTCCCTAGTTTTCAATTATCTCTAGTTGATCTTGGTCTGCTTGTTTTCACTAGAAACATTTCACCGTTAATGCGTTACTTAAGTAGTCTTTTCGAATTTTTATGCTAACGCTTGTGAAAGATGATGAAGATGAATATAAATCTGATACAGGGTATAGTAAAAGTTGAAATTATTTGTTCTTTCGAATACAAATGAACTTGAAATCAGGTTTTTATTATTCAGCAGTGAATTCCAGATGTTCCTGGCTATTCATGTCCACCAGACTAATTGAGCACCGTCCTCTGAGTTCATGGCCCATGTGTATCTCGAGTTCACTAAGGTACAGACAAGATTTACTATTGCCTTACTGTAAGAATTCATGGACTGGAATGGTTAATCTGAAAAAAATACTTAGTGGAACGTTTCTTTAACAAAATTATAATGTCATGCTGATTGACGTGTTCAACACAACATCCAAACATCCACTGACTCGAGCTTTATATAATCGAGAAGCGACCATCTGCTTTGAAAAATTTAGCTGCTGTTCTAGTTCACTTTGGATTATCCATCAGTTCACAATGTTTTTCCTCTTATTATTCTGTTTATTTCAAATTTCGCGCCTGATCAGTATCAGTTAGAAAACCATTGACAACTAGAACTGAATACTGGACAGCTGTTTCGTCCTAGTTTACGACTCATCAGTGGTCAAACTTGAAACAAATCAAATCCCTCCCAACTAACTGTTGAAAATCAATATGAACCTAGCTGATTACTGGTCACAGGACGAAGCGGCCTAGAGCCCTATTGAGAAGTCGTGACCGATATGGTCAATCATGCAGGCAGTGAGAACGAATACTCTCCACGGATAACTATGTATGAAGGTTCAGCTAAAGCCAAGAATTGGTAGATGTTAGAATTCATCAGGTAGCCATTCAGTTTAGTACTGTTAGCTGGATGGTCCAAAAGATTGGCGTGTAACCGAAAGGTCCCAGGTCCCAACTCTAATGGGTGCCTATTCTCGGTGAGTACAAAGCTAGGTCAAAGCAGGTGTCCAGTACTCCCTGGTTTTTAAATGTCTCTTCAACTGATATCAGTCTGTGATCAAACGTGAAAAACAAATCGAATCCGTACAAAAACTGATTCTTGAAAATGTTCTGTTTATTCTTGTGTACACGGTGTTTTAATTGGCAAAGTGAATAGGCTACACATTAGGTAATATGATGCTCCACTTATCAGTCTGTCAGCTGGTTTCTTACAAATCAGGAATTGTAATTAGATACAAGACTTAGAAGAGCGGAAATCTGATATTCATATTTTTATATTCAAGTGTTGGTTTTCAAGTATTTGAGTAGTTTCAGGATTACATTATGAACTGATACCAGTTAGAAGCCCATTGGAAAACCTGAAATACTAAACAGCTGTTTCGTCCTTTCCATCAGTACGCAACCATTACCAGGTTTCGTATCCTGAAACTTCTGGTTACAAGGTTAGCTCGTAGACCATTAGGCCACTGTGAAGAGTCGTAGACTAGGACGAAACAGCTGTCTAGCACTTCAAGGTTTTCCAATGGGCCTCCAGCAGATGTCCCTTCATGATGAAATCTCTCGTGGGAATTCGTGACCAGTGGGGTTCATCCAGTACGCAGTTATTTTATTTTTTATTTATTTTTTTTATTTTGATTACAGCTTGATTCCACACTATATTTTTGGTACAAGTATGGAATTTTCAGAATGGATATCGGTAACCCAAATATTGCAGGCCGACCATAGATATCAGGTGTGCTTCGTCGGCAGTTGATCGAACCTCGGACCATGTGCATGGTCGTTGAGAGTCCAAACCACTGTGCCACCGACACACAAATACTCTCCACTGATGGCACTAGCTAGTGGTCGCACTATATTTTGAATAGGCAGAAGTTGGAAATCATAAACTAGCCGTTCGATCTAGTCCCAGTGACTAAATGGTCTACGAGATTACTCGCTTGCTTCTGACCGGAAGTTCCTGGGTGGGAACGCAAGTTGTGGGTGTGCACTGCTGAACAATCTCGAACTGGAACGAAACAACTGACGGGTACTCTACTTCTTGTTTTCCAATAAACCTCTAAACGATATCAGTTCATGATAAAATACATATTTCTGTTTGGCAGTAGAAATAATTATAACTGTTATTAGTATGTGTACGTGTGATTAACAGTCAGATTATTTTGTTGTCATTTATAGGTATAAAACAAAGTCTAACATATTAATTGATATTCTACAAGGTCATAGTTGACCGTTAAATACACATATCAGGTGAGATCACTGACTGATATCAGTTACAGGATCATTGAAAACCAGCTGGGATTACTGGACAATTGTTTAATCCTAGTTTGGAAATCATTAGTGGTGAAAATTGAGATCACGAAATGGTAGAAGTTAGAATTCATTGGCTGGCCATTGAATCAGATCCCGCTGACTGAATGGTATACGAGCTTGATTTGTAATCTGTCTGTCTGTTTTTGACACAGATCTTTGAGCAGATGTACAGCAGTTCAAGTCGCCACACTCCATGTAACACACAAAGCAAGAGAAGAAAGTAAATGGAGATGCACAACAGAGACAGTAGACAGGGATATGTGATAAAACGAATAGTAATATCGAAGACCAATATGGCTTTATTGGATATTATAGATCACAAGGAGTAGATACATCTGCGTCAGCCATTGAAAACGATTTCGAGCTATATCACCAATTGTCTCCAGCCTTCATTAGTTTTTATCATCCCAAGGACTCCAACCAGTCAGTCAGGCAGTCTACACCTTCCTCATATGGATTTCACTGACTGACGAAACCATACTTTGGTTTGTCCACCACTAACTGGCTCTTTTTTCCAACCTGACACTATGTCAGCTAACATCGGCTGTTGTCGAGGAAGACAATGACATATGTCCTAACCCATCGGAGTTGATGTAACTTCACAGCCTCGTCGATTGATTTCCCCTCTCTACCTAGAACTCGATGCCTAACCTTAATATTCCTCACTCTTTTATACCACCCAACATGGGAGGCCGGCCTTTTCATGTCTTCCACTTTCAACGGTGGAATGTCTCACAGCTAGCCATAGAAGAGGACGGAGCGGACTGCAGCTGATTAGTACACACGCCCTTTGGTCTATAGCCAGATATCACGTCTACACCAAAAAAAACGCGTAAACTGGCACTTGTAATCTGAAGGTCCATGGGTTCGAACCTCAGTGGCTGTATGTTACCGACGAGTCCCAAACTAGAATGAAACAGCTGTCCACTACTCCATCCTGGTTTTCCGACGGTTCTCTAACTGATATCAATTCGTGGCCAACCTGAAACAAATAGAACTAATAATAATAATAATATTAGTAATGAAACTGGACAAATGACCTCTCAACAAGTTTGCTTCTCAATAGTATCATATTGATTGTGAGGTTTTCAACCTGATAAATAAGCTTAGTTATGCATTCTAGAATCAGGTTTGTATTCATTGAGAACGTATTTTTTTTAGAACATATTAACCTAATTTGCATTTAGAGTGTCAAATAAAATTGATCTTTCTTGTAATCCAATAATGTGAAATTCAGTCATTTGTTTTATTTATACACAACATATCGATCATGGTATATGAATAGTGAACACACAGTTACTAATCACTCTCGATGAATAACAACGATATTCAATCATTTCGGTGCTTCCTCCAAAGTGAGATTTCAATTCCCTAACTGACTGCTGACGTTTTCACCTGCTAAGAATAATAATAATAATAGTGATAGCTCTATTCTGAACAATGTTCAATTAGTGTACAGAATTTTCAGTGGAGTTTATTACATGACATCTTCTCTTCATCCAGGAGCCTCAAATATAACATTAACTGGCAGCAGATCGTGTGATATAGTTCGATCTGACTTCAAACGCAAACTAATCCATCATGTGATATCTCTTCTCTATCTCCCTTAAGAAATACACGACACTTCGTTGAGTGCCAATGATAGAACTTCCAGGAGTAAATTTTG